AATGAGAAAAGGGCTGTCCCAGCCAGCGGAATCCCCAGGGAACAGATGGTCCTGACCTTGAGCAGCAGCTGGTATTTCATGATCCTCTGCACTGGTTTGATGAGGAGGTCGTTGAGCTGTAGGCGGTGCCCTAGCTGCTGCCGGAGCTCCTGAGGACAGGAATGTGGTCATGCAGCCTGGAGAGCCTGATGATTCTGTCCCCCTTCCCCCAAGGTACCTCAGCCACTGACCTCAAAGTAGCTGTCCCCAAATTCTGACACCACGTGCTCTGACTTGGGCTTGTTCTGACAGTACACCACGTACATATGCAGCCGGCGCTCCTAACAGGGGTAAAGGTTAAGGAGCGCAGGACTGGTGAGGAGAGAGAACACCTCTCTCGGGAGCCCGGACCCACTCCCAAGTCCCGCCCCTCCAGGGCCACCCTCTTAAGCCTCACGTGTTTGATGAATAGCTGAGCCAGCCAATCAGGATCCTTCAAACACCGCCGTAGCTCCTGCAGGAAATAGCTGGAGGGGTTGGCAGGGAAAAGGCAGGTCAAATACCCCCACCCCACACAACTGAGAGCTGTCTACCCTGGTTGTGATCAAGCTGCTCCAAACGTTCCTCAGGCAACAATGGGCCCCTGGCTAGGTTACAGAGAAAACGAGACATACGCCCTTCCCCCTCACTCTCTCGGGGATCCACCACTCACTCGCGATGCCACTCATAGATTTGCTGGATGTTCCCAAACACAATCCTGTCACGGCCTCGAAGACTCTCCGGGACCCCCTGAGCAGCCATGGTGGCCATGTAACCCTGCAGGAAGGTTGGGGCGGGAGCATGAGTGTGGGGGGCCAGCCTTGGTGGGGAAAACCCCCTCCCCCAAGAAGTCCAGCATGTAGGGGGTACCGGAAGGTGGGACAGAGGAGCACTAAGGCATCTCCTAAAATTAGCCTTGAGCAGAGGGAAAGGGCTGGGCTGGGGCTGGGAAGAGAAAAGGGCACTACCTCCACAATCTGCCCCAAGTCGTCCACATACATTTTCTCTGTCTCTACCAGTTCACTCAAGACATACCTGGGAAGAGAGCAGGAGTGCACATCCTTGGTTTAGCCACTTCCTCCCTCCTGGACTAGAAGCCCCTTCATTACCACAGCCAACCTCAGAGGAAATTCCAAGTATTAAATCTAAAATGTGAGGGACAGTTCTCTGGAAGTTGCACAATGGGTGGGGGGGCAGAGGGGAGGGGGTGTGTGGGAACACTTACATACTCCTTTCCAGAGCCTTCCTCTTCTGTTCCTCCTCACTCTCAGGGGCTTGGGACAGAGTCTCCTCCTCAGGTGGCTGGAAGGAAAGAACATCCTAGAGTAAGTAAACAGATGCTTTTGGGGAAGCCATGCAGACCCATTTCTTCATACCTGTGTCTTATCTCCAGGGCCCTCCAACAATGTGGTCAGCAGGGTGAGTTCTGGCAGCTCCTCTCCTGTGGCTAGAGCTGGTTCCAGCATCCAGTTCTGGGAGCCAGAGGTCATGTGTCAGAGGTCATGGACAGTAGCTATGTCACCCCAGTGGCCAATGGCCCCCAACCTGCCCTCTCTCCCAGTGTCCTTCATGGATGTCCTACATGTTTTTGTGGTGCTCCCTGCTCACCTCATATGGTCCAGCCTGGCCACCGTCTGCCTCAGTTTCCACACTGAGACAATGTTTGGAATGATCCAACCATCTTCTCAGGCCACTGACTGGCCCTGGGGGGCCCGGGGAACAGGGGCCAGAGCTGAGGCCAGAGCTGGGGCCAGAGGGGGCAGCCAGACCCGAAGCAGCTGAAGCTGAGATACTCCCCTCACTGCCAGCAATGGAATAGGATTCTAGTGGGGAGCAGGGGGAGAAAAGGGGCCATAGATATTATTCCAGCTCTAGTTTCAGGGTCCCTAGGGAGCTCCCAGAGGCCCTTCTTCATGATGCTGAGCCCTCCCCCAGGGCCTACTCTCTTGCCATCCTCATTTGAGTTGGCCAGGATAGAAAATTTCCCCTGGGCACCCTTGGGAGGAAGGACAGTAAACACCTGGGCTCCCAAGACCTGGAACCTCCAGTTATATATGGAGGCTCCCCCATATCCTGAGTATGCCATAGATATGTAGGGGCAGCCATCTGGGGAGACACTGGAAGCTGGGGGTGGCCATCTGCTCTCCTACAAGCCGCCCCCTTCCAATGGGCACAGACCATTCCCTGAGAAGGTGAGGGGGGAGAGCTAAAAGCCCATCTGCCACCCCCAGACCCCTCCTGCACCAATTGCAGTAATCACTATAAAAAGAAAAGACGTCTGCAGCCCATCTCCCCAACACATACACAAACCCAATTGCGGGGTGGGGGGAGGCAAGTGAGGAGAGCTCATCAGGGTTATCTTTGCCCTGGGCTCAGGAACAGAGGATCCGAGATTTGTCATAAAGCCCCTGGTAGACTGTCATCCTCATTCCTCCATCCCTCTGTCCCTCTTCAGATCTGAAGTAGATTCTCAGCGAAAGGGTTTAAGGAAGATCCAGTTCTAGGCCCAGGGGGATTGTGGATGGGTTTTTCTCATACCCAGTTGACTACAGGACAGAGAGAAGAGTTTCCTGCCCCTTCCCCAATTTCCTTAACTTGACTGATTACAAATTTGGAGGCAGATGGGATCTTGGAGATCTACTAAGTCACTTCCCTGGAACACAGGTACAAGTCTCCAGCCTCTAAATCCCTAGGGCCAGGTCAGTCTGATGCCCTGAACCCTCAGCCCGCCCCCCACTCAACGCCGGGCCCTTGCGACCTCGCACTCACCACGACCCCCCCGGGCGAAGCAGCAGCCGCATTTTGCCAGCACTTTTCGGATCACGTGGGGACAGGCACAGCGACCCCCCTTGTGCCCCCCCCGCATGACGCCCGGGCCCCCCCGCACCCCCCACCCGGGCCGGCCATGCAGGGGGAATCACGGGGGGCGGGGCGGGGACGGCGCAGGGCGCACACCCCCCCTCCCTCCTACCCCGCTCCAGGCTGGGGGAGGAGGGGAGGGAGGGAAGAGGGAGGGGGCGTCCAGGGGTAGGCGGAAGTCTGGTCTGGGGGAGGGCTGGGGGCTCTGCAGAGCCGGCGGCGCGAGGCCGGGCACCCGAGCTGGGCGGGGAGGGTTTCCGGAACCCAGTCGGTGCGGGGCCCAGGGTCCAGATGTCCAGCGGGGCGGGGAGGGATGGTGGGGGAATCTGGGCCGGGATGCGGCAGCCTCTCCAGCTCCGTCTCCGGCCTCTCGGGTTTGGGGTGGTTCTAGGCCTGGGCAGGGAGGAGGCGGGGACCGACTCCCCGAGTCACTGGCGCTGCGCGGGTCCCGGCCGAACGGCGAGCCGAATAACAGGCCCCGCCGCTGTGCCGCCGCGGGGAGGGGCCTCTGCGGCCCAGCTCCGCCCTCTCCCTCCGGTTTCCCCCCTTCAGCCTGTGCCCGGCTCCAGCCCCAATCCCCCTCCCCCAGGCACCACCACGTTCCCACTCCACGTCCCCACCGCCTCCGCCTCTCCTCTCCAGCCTCGGCTCCCCGCCCCGGGTTCCCCTCCCTCCTGCCTCTCGGGCTCCCGACTGCGGAGCGCAGGGGTCGGGGGTAAGCCGGGCGGCGGGGTCTGCCCAGGTCGCCCCTCCGCCTCTGAGGTGGAGAAGGGTGCGGATGGATGAGCCTGGGCCTGTGTGAAGATGTCCTGGGGGCTGGGACTGTCCCTAGCCGCTCAGGGGTAGACAAGCCCCCTCCCTTTCGGGGATGCGTGAATGGGGAGCTTTGTGGGGAACGCAGCCCAGGTGCCGCCCTCTCGCCAGACCCTTCTTTCCTCCAGGCCCCAGGACTCCAGCTGAGGCTAATCACCAATTAAGGCGAAGTCCTGGAGGCAGGGCTGGCGAGGGGCCAGGGGTGGGGCGCGGGGACACTCTGCCTGCGGGGGCTCGGGACCGGCTGATGTGGGGGACGCACAGCGGACTAGAGGGCGAGAAGCGTGGAGGTCTTGGCAATTAAATGGGTCCCATGCAGATTAGATGCAAACCTTTATGCTAATAAGAGCAGCATTATTTGAATTCGCCACTTTGCGCAGGACGGCAAACTGTGCCCCACCCCACCCCCAGCTTCTTACCGAGCAGCGGAGCCCAGGCGGGGACCTCACGTTCGCGCTCCCCTTTCTGATCCCCCTCGGTACAGTCAGACTCTGTCTCGGTCCCTCCTGGCCCTAGGGGACTTCTCTTCGGGGGCTGTGGAGAAAGACGAGGGGTAAGGAAACCGCCCTCCACGCCCAGCCTTGACCTCCCGCTTCTCCCTGGTCCTCCTGTCAAATCCACATTGTTGTAAAAGGGTCGGTTAGGCTGGGTTGGAGGGAGCGGTTCACCCAGACCAGGGCCCTGGCCCTCTTTTGGATCTCATGGATTCCTGCGACTGCCCTGCAGAATTCCTGTTTGCGGGTAAATTGAGTTGTGGGGTGCAGACCTCCTGGAGCCCCCTAAAGATTCCCGACCCCACCGTGGTCCCCTTTCTTACCCCCTCCTGCCCGGGAAGGGCGCATGCGCGCAGCATGCCCCCCATGACCCCCAGTATCCGGTCAGTGCGGCCAGGGGCGGGGCGGTCAGGGGGCTTCATGCTGGACCCCTACCCTGCTCCAAGTTTCAGGGCCGAGGGGGCACGGAAGCTGGGGGGCTCTAGGCCTGCGCGCGTCCGGGGAGTTGCTGCTGTGGAATCCGCCCCCCTGCCCGGCTCCGCCCCCACTCCCACCCCAGCCAAACTTTTCAAAGGGCTAGGGTTGTTGCTTTCTCTACAACCGAAGTTCAACAACAAACAAACCCCTCTTAATCCCGATTCCGTCGTGGATGCGTCAGGAGCCCACTAAATACGTGCCTTTTCCCCAGGCGCTCTGCAGGCAGAGACTGGGGAGACACACAGGGATTTCCCCGATCACCACCCCCTTCCCCTCCTCAGCAGGTTCCGCTCCCCACCCCACCCCCACCCTGGTCCACAGAACAGAACGGGTGTGGCATAGAGTTGCATATTTTACTTTATTTTTATTAAATTAAAAGCTACAGTCTGGCGGCGATTCCAGAACAGGGTAAGGAGGCTCCTTATAGGGGGCAGAGCGGGAGACAGACTGACAGAGACGGAGACACGCGAGAGAAAGGACAAGGTTAAGGTAGAAGGGGGACTGTTTCTGAAGAACACACAAGGCCGGCTCCTTGGGGGCTCACCTCAGCCCCATGCCCCCTCCCCCACACCGAAGTTCATCAGTGGAGCAGTTTGTGGGGGCAGGGGGCTCAAGAGAACCTCCTTCCCCACCCAGGTCCTTTCTCAGCTTAGTCATTGGAGCACAGCACATACCAGAAAAAGCCAAGGGCAGTGGAGGGGGTAGGGAGATTGGGAGTATGTACAGGGGGAGGAGAGGAGCAGAGCCTGGAAGATCCCTCTGCCAGAAGGGAGTGGCTCACACTGCACTGAAGCACTCGCCTGTAGGGGGGACAGGGGAAGGGACTGCCCCCTCCCTCTCTGAACTCCTTCCCCAGTCAGACTGGTCCCTTATTCGTATGGTGTGGGGGGCAGAGGGAGAGAGGAGAACAGAGGCTTCCGCTGGGTCCTATGGAGAAAGGCAAGGGCTTGGCAAAGGGGATGGCCTTCAGTCATCTGTGATACCCTTGGCTCTCAGCTCTTCTTGCACCCGGGTCAGGTAGGTGGGGTCTGGGTACCCAAACCTGGGAGCAAAGAGAAATGAAGGTCAGGATTAGCTGTTGCAGCTTACTCATATTAGCCTCATGTTCACCCTCATTCTGGGTGCCCCAGTCCAGCCCCTCCCCACCTCCCCTAAGGATATCCAAACCCAAGGTAACTTAGCCCAATTCTGCTTAGTTTTGTAGGTGAAGCTGGGCATACTGGGCCAGGTTGGATGTAGAGAAACTGGCATGGAAGAGATGGTTGAATAGGTTGGGGGTGGTCCTCTCCAGTTAGGAGGCTCCCAGCAGGAGAGGGGATTAATGTCATTCCCTCGCTGGAAATGGAGAGAAGGGGAGGGGCCAAGGGAAAGGAAATGAAGAAGGGTCGCACAGCTGGGGTCCCCCTGTGCAGCTGGTCTTGTGGTGGATGTCGTTCCAGGTGATGACATTCGGTCTCCCTGTGGTCATGGACGTGCCGATAGTGAAGGTGAGTCGCTGGTCAAATGCCTTGCGGAACAGGGTCAGCACCTTGTTGCCCTCAGGGCAGTCCGGGAGGTAGGCCACCCGGGTGGTGCCAGGATAGCGAACTCCTGGGTTTGGGTGTTCAGCCTGGGAGGGAGGGGAGGCAGACAGGACAGTGAGCAGCTGGGCGTCTGAAGGCCCACCATGCCACCAGAGGGTCATCCTGGCCGGCTGTCTGTGCACCCCCAGCTAATGCTGACAGGGCAGCAACAGGCTGACAGCCTTTCAAGGAAGGAGAGACTTCCTTGAAAGGTTTGGACAGCAGGAGCCTGTTTTTGGACAAAATCCTTACTATTAAAGAAGTTCTTTCTGCTGCCTGGATCCCTCAAAGTCTCAGTTCAGCGACGAGTGGATTCTCAAAAGTGATGGGAAGTAGCCAGTCCTTACTCACCAGATAACTCAGCAGAAATGTGAAGACTGAGAATAAGCTATCTTTCAGCCTTCCCTTCTCCACCTGAGAACGCTCCCAAGCTTCTTTGCCTGCCTGACCTGTTCCATTTGCCCATTACTCTTCTTCAGAGCTGCGCCGGCCCTCTGCAAACCAGGACTGAGAATTACTCTTGCTTGGTCAAGCAGGAAGAGACCTCTAGGCTCCTGACCGCTCCTGTTTTAACCTTCCACTGTCTCATCAATTGGGAACAAAGTAATACTCAGTGCCCTGTGAGGAGGGTCAGCCCCCTTCCTGCTGCGCCCGCCTGCACCTGAGCCACCATCTCCACAGAATTCACCCCTGCCAAGAATAGGTGTCGACATCCAAGTTCATCAAGGAAATAGTATTCAATTCCTTTCTCTCATACCTGATTTTCATGTGTGCAGAAGAGAAGAGGGGTCGTGGGACAGAAAAGCTGGGCCTGAAGGGGACCTCCTAGCTCCGGGGCACTGAGTGGGAAGGCATACTGGGAGACAGCAAGACTACATCACATCTAACAAATACACTCCCCTCCACCAGTTTTCCTAGGTCAGAGAACACGCTTGGGGAAAACCAAAATGGGGAAAACCAAAGGGCAAAGGCAGGCCATAGGTCTTCTTACCCCCTGGACACCGGGCGGGAAGACGTACTGGATGACGATGGTGCCATACTTCTCATAGCTGGGCAGTAAGAGTGTGGCGTCCTTAGAGACAAGCATCCGCCCATTCTGGGGCTGGTTGCCCACCAGCTGCCCATAGAAGCGGCCACACATGGGACAGGCCTTTTTCACCTGCAGGGCCCGGGTGATGCAGCCCTCGCAGAATGAGTGCCGGCACTTCTCCAATGTCTTGGCGTTCTGGATCTCCCCCAGACAGATGGGGCAGGTGCTCTCCTGTTCTTCGGCCTCCTCCCGAAGGCGGGGAGGAAGGGGAGGGGGGAGGGGAGGGGGAGGAGGAGGGAGCCCCCGAGCCCCTGGGGGCAGAAGCGGGGCTGCTCGCAAAGGGGGAGGGGGGGGCCCTGGACGGTGTAGCTCAGGGTGCTCCCCGCCACCCCCCAAAGCCAGGCAGCCCATAAGCTCGCCCTGCCTCTGAGCTTTCTTCAGCTCTTTCTCAGCCTCTTTTAGCAGCCCCTTGAGAGCCTTCCGGGCCAGGTAGAGCCCATTGGGAGGGGCCGGGGGAGGGCCCTGTGGGGAAAGCTGGAGGACATAGATGTCAGAAGTCTCGCCATCTATGAGGATGGACACACGGTGCTCCTCCCGAAGCCGGGCCAGCCGGGCTGGGGTCTCCTTGCTCAGGAAGTCCCACACAGGCTTGGAGACAGTCACTTTGTTCTTGCAGGTGCCTCCACAGGCTGCCATTCTGGACAGGACGAACGACACTGCCCCCAGGGTGAAAGGGACTCAGGGTGGGGGGTCCCCGTTTGACAAAATCAGTGCCTCCTACTTCAGGTTCCTCTCCAACTCTATATTGCCTCTACTATCTCAAAGTCCAACCCCCAACTCCTCCCCCAAGTTCATTTTCTGTCTCCTCTTATCTTTCAAACCCCAGCACCCACTGAAGAGCAAGAAAGTTTCTCTACTTTTATTATCATCATCTGAGCTAAGCACAGTCTTGGTTCTCTTTATACTCCTCCCAAGATCACAGAAACAATCTCACCCTCCTCCCTCTGGGTGAAAACTGGCTTCTTTAGAGGGGAGGGAGACTTTGTGCTCACTTTGATCCTGAAGAGCTTAGAATTGGCATGCAGGCTCTCTCTCGCTGTCCCTGCTCCCTACTTGTAGGTTGTGTGACCTGGTGGGTGGAAAGGAAAAGGAAGGAAAGTGAGAAACCCCGTACCCCCTTCCCACATGCGCCAACACAGCAGCCCATGTAACAGAAGACTGGGAACCTGGGTGTAAGTCACTGGGAATGGGATTACTTGGCACATGGAATGGAGGAAACCAATTTAAAGGCGAAGCTGAGTTTCCCTTGGGAGGCAGATACCTGGGAAGCCCATGGACAATGAGAGCAGCAGAAATCCCTCTATTTCCACACTCAGCTGACCAGGACTAGGGGGAAGGGGGAGAGTAGAGAGTAAAGGGTTATGATGACAAATGTTACCACACCCCCCCTCACCCCACTCCACCAGCAGCCCAGAAACCACACAAAAACTCCTCTTCCATTTCCTCTCCTCTTCTGCAGAACTGCATCCCCAGCCTCTCCCAAGTTGCTAAAGATGGAACTTCAACATGCTAACTTTCCTCTTTTCTTCCCCAGCTCTGAGGCTCTCAAGAAAGCCTAGGGCACAGATAAGAGAAGTCAGGAAGGGAAAAGCCCACACAGATGGAGGTCTTTCTTGCCATCTCCCTCAGATCACATGGGTAAGAATATTTCCTATGCTCCCCAACTCCTCACCCTGCCCCGTATTCCCAAATAATTCAGTCCCTATCGCTAGGGAGCCTTCTTTGAGAGCTAACCCAGTCCCTTCTGCTGAAGTCTGTTTGGAATGCCAACAAAGTGGCAACAGTCCCTAAATAACAAAGTTCTTACTGTCACCTTTTAAACACCCCCCCCCGCCCCGCCCCGCCCCGCACTGGAGCAGTAAGCCTGTCAGCAACCCAGTCTGCATTTAGGGAGGGGTGGGGCTCAGCCGAGGCTCAGCTGGAGGAGACTTAGGTTTCCCCTGAGTCTTACCATGTTCAGCTACAGAGCTGTCCCTACAACACCTCCAAATGTAGCTCAAATAGAAAGAGGGGCCATTAGTGTGACCTCAATTCCTTGACTGATCCAAAGGGGAGCGGCTCTCTGTCTGTGCCTCCATCATAGTCCCCTCAAGACCAGATGCACCTCGAGATTCAGAAAGTGAAACTGAAATCCTAGAACCTCAGCTCATTCTGTCTATCCAAGGTGGAACACCCCCCTCTCCATCAGAGGGAACCCAGGACCTAGATGTCCTTAGCTCCAAGTCCTGCTGGCACAGAAAAGGGAGGCGGGGCCATAGCTTATGTTGGGTCTCTGATTCCTCTGGGGCAACCCAGGCCGGACACAGGGCCAGTCCCTCCCTCCAGACGGAGGCCAGACAGGGGCAGCGGGGGAAGGGCGAGGGTCCCTGGGGGCACCAACTGAGGCAGCCCCACCCCTCCCCCATGACCTCCTGCAAGATCCAGGACCAATCCCCACGTCCCCCTCTCGCCGGAGCCCCCAGAGCCCCACTACTGGGTGGGGGTGCATGTCGGCCCGATCGCGGTTCCCCAGAACCCCCAAATGGAGGCCAAGGCTGGAGGATGATAGGAAGAGGATCGGCCAGGCGTGGAGGGGGCCCCCGGCGCCGCGCGCGGGTAAGGAGGCAGAGGAGGGGGCGCAGGGGGGGGCAGGTAGGGCGCGCGGGGGTTGCGAGCGGGGTCCGGGGGGCGCGCGGTGGGTGTGGGGGGCGCCGGGCTCACCTACCTCCCGTCAGCGCCGCCATTGCCGGTCACATGACTGAGGCTGTTGCTGGGATGACGGTCTGGGCCTTAGCAACAAGGGGGGGGAGACCCCGAGAAGGTGGGGGGGAGTTTGCAGAGGGGGTGCAGACTGGAAGGGTAGGAGGGAGGACGGCACCCGCTTCCCCCGTACAGGTGATAATCACCGTTTCCTTTGACCCCCTTCCATCCACGAGCCCCTGCCCTTCCGCCCCAAAACAAAAATGGAGGCGCCGTCCCAGTCTTTGGAGGGAGGGGGTGGCGTGTGGAACCGAGGGTAGGAGGTTAAATCTCTTAGAGACGCCACCCTTCTCGCTTCCCCCTCCCGGGGGTGGGGGGAGCCCTCTCCCTTTGCTTTTCCAGCCAGCTGCGTGGCAGCTTCTGCAGGCTGGTGACAGATGGGTGGGCGAGGAGTGTCGGCTTAGGTAGGTGGGGAAGGGGGCAATTTTTCTGAGATTCTTATGCTATTGCTAGAAGGGACTTTGAGGAATAATTTGGGATGGGAAGAAGAGTCATAGTAAGAAAAGCACTGGTTCTAAAAAATAAACCCCAAGACTAAACTATTTCAATCCCTTCCCTCCTCGCTTGCCTTTTCCTAGATTGTTACCTTCTGTGACCCCCATAACCTGCTTCCGGATGGGTGTTGGTAAGTGCCTCTGACTTTTGTTTCCACAAACAGGGATACTGAGGCTAGTGCAGAACGGGAAGTGAATACATCTTTTTAAAAAATGCCTTGGGGTGGGGGCTGGGGGTGTCAAGTCTACGGTTCAAATAGAGTTAAAACATCTCAAAGGAAAAACAGCTCTGCTCTGTTCTGCTTCCCACATCAGAGCAATCTCCGCCCCCAGTCCAATTCACTTCCCTGGGGCCACATCAAGCCAGGTTTTTCCACCAGCCAAAAGACCTCCTCGGCCAGACAGTACTGGATCTCCCAGACTGGCAACAACTTCTATTTATCCACCCCTTTCTTCACTCCCTCCCTCTGGGCTGGAGGACTGGTCCCTTTCTTCACTTTCCCAGGACCCTGCTGTACTCTTCCCGCTCTCCAGACAGAGGACATCTTTCCCAGGAAGCCTGGGGAAACACCCAGTTCCTTCTTTTAGCCCCTGCCAGTGTGCTCTGAGAGGCTCACTCACCTTTACAGGAATGAGTGTGTGATCAAGCCCAGAACCCTGGGGGAAGAGGGAGTGCCACATCAGCTGTTCTCCCTGGCCCCCCTATAGCTGAACTCCCACAAAGGCGGAGAGTAAGTTTTCCATTCCCATGCACACCCCTCACAACCTTTTAAAAGTTCACAGCTATCGATCTAGAAATCCACATTCTTAGTTAGGGGCCCAACATCTTAAAGATCAGAATTCTTCATCTGGTTTCCACACCCCTAAGCACAGGGTTCCTCAGAAAGGGGGTGGGGGAAGGCATGTCTATGAAGGAATATGGATTCAATAGTTTATTTCCTATATAGTGACAGTAATGGGAGTAAATACACAAGATCTTTTTTATTAATTAATGAAACAAAAAAGATGAAAAACAGAAGCAACAAAATGAAGACCATACTGCTTATGATACATCAGCCACATGGTCAGAAAACCAATTTCTAAAGAGCGACAGCTGCTGGTGTCATGGAGTTTTATTGCATTCAACAGGGGAAAGGTAGACGGCTGGAATGAAAAAGATCAGCGGGCCCCTGATGGGGAAGATATTACAGGGGCTCTAATCCTTAACTGTGGATTCCTCTTGTTACTTCCTTTGGAGAAGATGGAGGGGAGAGAGGAATTCTCCTTTATGACTGTATGACTTCTTGTAAGACAAATCAGCCCAGCTATATACAGTGCAAAGAACCCTTGCACCCCCACAGGCCAGTTGTTAGTGCCCATCTTTATGTTAAGAAAAAGCATGGAAGCCATAAAGGGGATCGAGTGGAGAGTAGCAAGAAAGGTTGCCTTAGCCCCAAAGGCATCAGGGGGTGGGGAGGACACTATCTGGGTCATCAGAGTCCTCTACATTCTGAGACTATCACATGTCATTTCAACTCTTTGGAGGGGGTTGGGTGATTTGAGTTCTGGCTCTGACTCCTCTCTTGGGGTAGAGAGTGAAGATGACAAAGAAGTCCATCTGTCCCTTGGGAGACACAGTAGCAGTATGAGACAGAAAAGAACAGAATAACAAATCCAACTGGAGAAAGGATTTGAGAAGGGACTGAGAAGGAAGTATGCTAGGTGCACACCTCCAAGGAGTAGAGGAGGATCCCACACTTGAGTCCTTCATCCTCTTGAAATGACCAGGATTGACCCAGGTGGAGATATTCCCTTCTGCTGGGAATAAAACCTCAGGAATGGCTAGACATGAAGAGAGGAAATTTAGCACTGGGAATGAACCTTTTACCCTGGCCCATCATCCCAGCCTCCAAAACTGCCCACACCCCCCCAACTGAAGGGTTCCAGCCCCAGGAGGGGTGTGAGGTCCTGGTGAAGAGCAATAACAGTCCAATGTCTTCACCCGGGCTTGAACACTTTGGCCATCTCTGGGCTCTTGTACCCAGAAGTACAGGGGTGGAGGTTGGAAGTAGGGTGAGGGAAGAGACTGGAGAGGAATCAATTCTTGACAGACACCTTTTCCAGTTCCCTGCATAATTTCAAGCGTCCTCGTGGGTCCCACCTCTGTGAGGTGCCAGCCGGCTCGCCACTCCCCACCCCATTAGTAAGATGGGCCATATCCCATCACATGTGTGCATGCCAGCACCCACAACTGTAGTATCTTGAAAGTCCTCCATCCCAGGGCCTACTGGGAAGGAAGCATGCCACAGTGAGTTCTATAAAGTTATCAGCAAAATACAGACACTCTTAGTTCATCCCACACAGCAAAGTGCATCCAGAGTAGTTGCTTGAGCCAGGTCCATCTGTCCAGTCAGGTCCTGAAGGTGGCAAGTAACCCCCTTCCCCCATCTCGTCCTATGTTCTAGAAACAACAGGACATTTACAAAGATCAAGGCACTTGGGAGTGAGTCAATAGTAACACTCTAATGAAGCAAGCAGAATGGTTGGAGGGGAGGGAGAAAAGGAAGAAAACTGGACAGGGGGAGATAGGATAATGTATTTCTGAGGGTCAGGAAGAGTTTACTCAACAAGATGGAGTTATCTGGATGGAAGGAGCCTGTAGCTGGAATTTAACATAGGAGGAAAAGAAGAAGTAGTGATCAGCATATCCACAATTCCCCCAAGCCTCTCAGAACCCTGCCACCTTGAAGATAAAGCAGCAGTCAGCATGGAGTCAGGCAGTCTCTTAGGCAAAGATGTTGGTAATGAAATCCAGGAATCGCTTAGCATACTGCTCAGGATGGACAGTAGAGATCTCTGCCCCAGCCTGTGAGAGGAGGTATGGAACACGGTGTCAGGCCACCCCCCACCCTTCCCCACTCTCCACCCTCCATTCCACTCCACACCACTTCCATCCCCAACCCTCTGTCCTTTTGCCACCCCATTGCTCTGGCACAAATGGCCCCCTGTTCCCAAAGAGTCAAAAGACAGGAAGGGAAAGGCTTTGCGGAACCCTTACCCCATGCTTGACAGTTTTGGCTGCATGAGCTGCTTTCTTCTTGGCATCATACTGTGTCAGGATGTCGATGAGACCCATGAAATACACCTCCTTCTGGGGGGCCCCTGAGGAAAGAAACCAGCAATGAAGAGCAAGTATAGTCCCAATTCCCTCTCCCCAAGAACCAGTCAGATCTGTTTTGAAAAGCTAACCAGCCTCTCCCCCACCACCCTGGTCTCAGTCCCCCAAGGCCAACCCCTCCTCCCACCCTCCCCGGCCCCCCGCCGCCAACACCCTTAATATTTCCAGGATCTCTCTCACCCTCAGCACTCCGGATGGCGTAGACGTCAATGAAGGACTCAAACTCTCCAGGGCCCAGGGGCCGATGAGAATGGATGTAGCCGCCGATACCCTCAGGGGAGGTGCCATAGGAGCCCACCAGAGCGGGTGGTCCTGTCAGGCCACAGTCCCCATCCCCCTCTGACTCCTCCTCCCGCACAGGCCCCTCCTCCTCTGGGTCAGAGCCCCGAATGATGTCGTGGATGCCCAGCAGAAGGCTGTAGTCCATGATCTTCAGCTGCACTAGGAACTGAGACCCCACTGACAAATCAGATTACCTCAGATCTCCTTCCCCATTCCCAGGTACCACCCCTATACCTCCACTCCTGAGTTTCTGGGGCCCTCCTGGGGAAAGGAAGGATGAAAATTGAGGGTTGGAAGGATACCACTGCCCTCTAGTACATCAATGTCCTGGTATCTGAGGTCATCCTTTTGGCTGATTCTAGCCACCCCCTCCATGCATCACCTCTGAGGGTTTTTCATGTCCCATACCCAACTCCCCTACATGCAGAGATCCCAAAGAATGAAGGGAAGGGGAGCAGTTCCCTCAGACTGGGAATGGGGAGCAACAGGAAACAGCCATTTCCCAAGCACACCGATCATCACCTCCACATCTCTCTTTAGCTTCTCTAGGAATACTTTCTTCTCCTCTTCACCAATATAAACCTTCTGGTTCTTGTTGAGAAAATCCATATCCTTAAGGGTGGGTAGTTCTTTAACCTGAAAGTAATGGGACATCTTAGGAATATATCCCTTCCCCCAAGGTCTCAGAGAACAATGCTCTATCTGGGGCCCTATGTCTAACTCAGTGGCTTTGAGGGGAGAGAGATCCTACAGCCCCTCTCCGACTCCACACTGCCACGCCGCCCCAGAGGCCGTTCTCAGCTCTAGCGGCTTCTCCAAACTCAGTCACTGCAGTGGTACCCCAAATCACATCCCACTACCTCTGCTGACAGTTTTCAGTCAACACCCCTCAAGCTGACTTTT